GGAACCCCCCCCCCCCCCCCCGTGTATTAAAATTCAAACATCGATCTGAAGTCACAACTTAGATGCAACTGAATATGGATCGACGGGCTAAACAATAGATCTGTCCATCAGTCATGGAAATCGTCGGATGGCGGGGGCATTTCAGCCTGCAGATGGTACGGCCCGGCCTCAGATTCCCCACGCCAGCTCTTGGCTTTTCGTGCAGACTGCTGTGTGACGTCAGCGTAGAGCTGGAGACAAGGCAAGACTCTTTCTGGGGCTTCTCTCTTAAAGAGACAGACCATGCAGGACAGCTAGCTCACACCCCACCCTAATTGGAGTCATGATTTACTGCTCCCTGCACTGGCTTTTCTTGTTTAAAATGAAAACTATAGCTACACTGCTGGTTTTATGAATTTCATACACTGTCTTGATGTATTAAGTTACTCTGTTAGTCTGCAGCTTCTCATTATAAATTTACACTTCACAGCCATGAGCGCTTCTTTGTCAGAGCCTTGAAAAGCACTAATTATTTCCATTACTGATCTATACATTTGTGTTGATCTGTAGTATTGTTGCTGGTATTCATTAGCTATGGTTATAGTTTAGTTGACTTCTTTCACAATTTTTTTTATTATTATAATTTTTTTATTATTCTTTTTGTACAAACAGAGCAATGCCATTATAGCTAGATAATAAATAGTAAATCACTCTTTGAAATCTGTGCTGTGAATATTTATTTCAAGCTGTTAATCAGGCAACCGAATGTGAGTTTTATCAAATATATTTCAGTCGGAGGGAAACTAATCACCTGTAGAAATAAATGTTTGTGTTGTATTATATTTTGACAGTCATTGCTTATGGTTGATAACCAATCTATTACAATCTTGAGAACAAATTTTAATTTTTTTTTCAATGGCCTGGACTTGTGTCCAATTGAATGTTGAATTCTGAACATTGACATGATACAATTTGATTGCAGCAAATTCGATTTTGATTAATCGCAGAAATTTTGTGTAGAAGTATTTCACATAATATTTACGTAAATCACAAAAAATTTGAAATAGTTTTTGATTTATTTGCATGGGTGTCGTAGATTTTTGGACTGACACAAGGGCTTTTTGGTAATTTGAAAACGTTGAAATTGGCCAATAATCACTATAACTCTGGTGTATAAAGTGAATTAAGTTATCTTTGGCAAGCTGTTTCGAACTCCTGACAACTCCAAACAAATTTAGTTTTGGCTTGATTTTGTTCAAAAAGAAGTCACACCAGGGGCCCGTTCTTCGTACGTCACTAACTCCGTTAGCTGGATTTGATTGTTGATGATTTGGCATGATCTTGGACTGTTTGGCTCTTCGAAGCTCATCCCGGAGTTGCTGTCATAGCAACAGGTCTGTAAGCTTAAACCTGCTCGGGAGCAGCTTATTTCATGTAAACAGGATTAGATTGCATCTTCTTAAGCAGAATTGATATTTAAAATCTGTCCGCTACCACCGCTACTTTATTACAAGAGTACCATACTAATCCAGGGACAATAATTTAAAATAATAATAATTTAAAGATAATATAATCATGTTGTGTAGTCTTTAATACTATAGACACAGCCAGTTTTACTTACTGAAAGATTTATTCGTCATAAAATTATTACTTCATAATTGTATTCGAGTCTTACACGCATGCTGTACAGATAATGTAGAGTCGTGCATTAATCTGAGTGCTGACAGCTATTATGGGAGTGGTTTGGTGGAGCTCAGGAGATGCAGATAACGTGATCTTGACCCTTAAGAAACTTTAAATAATGCTGTCATGTAACAAATCTGTTCAAATATAAAATTAAATGAATTGCTAATTACTACATTGAAATAAAAGTGTAAAGCCTGTACAAATATTAGAAATCGTGAATATAAATAATTGGGAATCATGTAGGCTAAATAAATAATTAAAATAAAATAAAAACAGTGCACATTTAATTGATCTATTATAACATTTATGTAGTTTTGTTCGCTTGGCTGTTTCCTTATAAAAGTAAAAAAATTTGTCAAGTTTTTCGTCAGGTGTTTTTTGTTTTTAATTATATGATGTCTTTACGTTGCTGTCTTGATGCCAGCCAATCGCTGCATTGCTGATCGTGGTTTCGAGTATCGATACATAGCCCCTTTTAAACCAACCCATGAATGCGCAATTATCTCAGATAACTCAATCCAGCCAGACTAATCATCAACACAGGTGCATTCGAAGAACCAAATTATCCAGATCCTGATTAGCGCAATGATATCATCTTGGATGTGACGTTTCATCTTGGATGTAATAAGCGACGTACGAAGAACGGGCCCCAGTTCTTTGCTTTTGAATCTGCTGTGAATTTATGTGAGAAATCAGAGTACCTCAAAAAACTGTTTGTGAATAGAGCAGCATTTCCATCTTTCTCTCACTAGAATCTCCAGTTAGAGTCGAGAAGAAAATAAGTGTTTCCATTAAAGCTGCAAATGTAATTTTATGCTATAAATCAGAGAACTACAAAAACTGTGCGGCTCAAGCAGTGTTTCTGTCTCTTTCCGATTAGAATTTCCAGTGAGAGAATACAGGTGCATCTCAATAAATTTGAATGTCGTGGAAAAGTTCATTTATTTCAGTAATTCAACTCAAATTGTGAAACTCGTGTATTAAATAAATTCAATGCACACAGACTGAAGTAGTTTCCAAAAGTTGGTTAAATGACCATGGTGTTGGTGTGCTTGACTGGCCAGCAAACTCACCAGACAATACCCCATAGAGAAGATTCTCTATGGGGTATTGTCAAGAGGAAAATGAGAAACAAGAGACCAAAAAATGCAGATGAGCTGAAGGCCACTGTCAAAGAAACCTGGGCTTCTATACCACCTCAGCAGTGCCACAAACTGATCACCTCCATGCCACGCCGAATTGAGGCAGTAATTAAAGCAAAAGGAGCCCCTACCAAGTATTGAGTACATGTACAGTAAATGAACATACTTTCCAGAAGGCCAACAATTCACTAAAAATGATTTTTTTTATTGGTCTTATGAAGTATTCTAATTTGTTGAGATAGTGAATTGGTGGGTTTTTGTTAAATGTGAGTCAAAATAATCACAATTAAAAGAACCAAAGACTTAAACTACTTCAGTCTGTGTGCATTGAATTTATTTAATACACGAGTTTCACAATTTGAGTCGAATTACTGAAATAAATGAACTTTTCCATGACATTCTAATTTATTGAGATGCACCTGTAGTAAGTTTCCATTTAAGCTGCAAATTTTATTTATGCAACAAATACTGCAAAACAGTTTGCAGCGTTTCCATCCCATGTGTTCAAGAGAACAAAATGGTCACTTCTAAGGAAATTGCAAAATATAAACGAAAACAGAAGCTGTAGGCTTTTACTTTTATTTTTATGAAATGTAATAAATAAATTGCTGTTCAGAATGTGCAAACACAAATGCTCTGACAATCTTCAGACAGTTCTAAAGGATAAAAGTAACCAATCAGGAGTGAATTAATCAGTCACACGCACTTTTTTTAATGAGCATCTGGGAATGTATTCTGTAAATGTGTTTCCAGTCATTTATGTATTAAAAATGTAATGGGTACTTTTTTTCTTGCACATTTTGGAATATGAATTCACATTTCATGGTGTTTCCATCCAGCATTTTTATACAGCACCCCAAATTTAAATATACAGTGTATTATTCTCAAATAGCATTTCCAAGTTGTAGCTTTCAATTCATCTGTCTTTGTGCATAACGTTTATTTTTATCTGTTTTTTTCTCTACAGAGGAGGAAGAGCGGCGAGAGAAGGCCTTGCTGTCCCGTGAGGCAGAGCAGAAGTTCTCCGCCCCCATTATCCAGTCTGTCCAAGTTAACCATGTGACCTGGGCCGACAACATGCGGCTCGAGCCACACCGCCACTACCAGCACCACCCTCCGTTACCGCCCCCTCCCCTCCCACCACCTGTTCCAATAGCTGTCATTCCTATCCCGGTGGTCCCTGCCAACCCTGCGGCCCCTCCCATTCAGACTGCTTCGTCCCTTCACACAGCCTCCCCTTTGCCAGTGGTCACACCCTTGGCCACAGCCCTGTCCCCACCAGCAGCCCCCCTCCTCAGTCCCAATGGCAAGGATGCCCACTCCCCTCCGCAGCAGCAGCAGCAACATCCTCACTTGATCGCACACATAAAAGCAGAAGCTAACAGCTTGCCTCTGTCGAATAACAGTCCCAAGCAGCAGCCGCAACAGATGCATGCACTTTTGCAACCATATCCAGCCCCCATCATCACAGCCCAGCCTTCACCACAGCAACACGCCCTCTTGCCCCAGCCAGCACTACCCCAACCTCAGCACACAACGGCCCAGGGTCAGGCAGGTCAACCGCCCAGGCCTAACGGAGCTGCTGTGGAAGAGTCACGCAGCCTGGATGGGAAAAGGAGACCTGGAGGGTGAGCTGTGTTTTGTGACTTCATACAAGAAAACTGAAGAGATTTTTTTTAAAGCGGAGGAGATTAAACTGTATGACACACATCTGTAATCATAACTGAACAAAACTGGGTTGGTTATTTTGTTATGAGATTGTAATTTTTAAAAAGTAGGCTTCTGTCCTGTACGGTGACCCATGAGGAGAAATAATGCTGCCCCTCAAGTCATGCTGTGTGTTTGTAGGTTGCAAACTAAATTTGTGATTTCTGATATACATATTTTATGTGGAACACAAAAGGGGATAATTTGAGAACGTTCATGCTGCTCTTTTGCATACAATGCTAACAAGGTTTGAGGATGTTAAAGGAATAGTTCACCCAGAAATGGAAATTCTGTCATTAATTACTTCCCCCTCATGTCATTCCAAACCCGTAAGACCTTCGTTCATCTTCAGAATGCAAATTAAGATATTTTTGATGAAATCCAAGAGCTCTCCGACCCTGCATAGACAGCAATGCAACTGAAATGTTCCCAGGCTCAGAAACATATAAGGACATTAAAATAGTCCATGTGACATCAGTGGTTCAACCGTAATTTTATGAAGCTACGAGAATACTTTTTGTGCACAAAGAAAACAAGAATACAGACTTTATTCAACAATTCTTCTCTTGCTCGTCCCATACTCCATTACCGCGACGCATGCGCATTGCTTTCCTCTGCACGTGTTCATGTGCATGTTGTTTATGTGTAGAGGTACTCTCGATAATGGCGGAAGATGTGATTTGGAGGAGAAGAATTGTTGAATAAAGTCATTATTTTTGTTTTCTTTGTGCACAAAAAGTATTCTCGCAGTTCTGTAAAATTATGGTTGAACCACTGATTCACACACATTTCTGAGACTGGGAACATTTTAGTTGCATTGCTGTCTATGCAGGGTCAGAGAGCTCTCGGATTTCATCAAAAATATCTTATTTGTGTTCCAAAGATGAACGAAGGTCTTACGGGTTTGGAACGACATGAGGGTGAGTAATTAATGACAGAATTTATTTTTGGGTGAACTATCCCTTTAATAAAAGTAGATTTTTTTTACTCACTATATTCTGAAGCCGTATGATATTGTCATGTGGAAATATTTGCTGAGAACTCAGATGAAAGTCTGTTGCAGCACCTAAATATCATTTACATATTTAAAAATATGGATCATCAAAACACATTGAGATTTATGTATCATCATTCATCACCGCACAGGGCTCATCCAGTTTAAATAAATAAAAGTCAGAGTTTTGAAAGTTGGCATTGAGAATGAACTACATTTAACGGAAACAAAACTGAAATCACATTATGGCTTAGTGTGATTTAATTAAATACATATATGCGCTGCACGTTTCAGAGTGAAGTGAGGCACTGTGTTCTTTTTCTTGCGAGCAGCTCATGATCCAGTGTTTTTAGTTTCTCAGAGAGGCTTGGTTCACAGTAAATGCTGTTTCACACAAACTCTGTCTCTGCATGTGTTCTGAGTTTGCATCGCTTATAACGTGCATTCGAGAACACACCATGCACCAGTCATCTTTCCGAAATTGTAATGAGAAGTGCTTATAAACCTGCTGTTGTCAACAAAAGAGACACTTTCAGGGCTCTCTGTGGCCCAAATAAAAGCTTGATGTTTTATCGTTTGAAAATGAAGAAATCAAGACTTAAATGTTAAATACTCTATTTTTTTATTTCACAGTGGAATATTACAATACTGATATTTAATATTTTGTTTAATATTTTTAGTTAGTAGTAGGAGTAATAATAATTTTGGATGATTTGTGCAGCCCAAGCACAGCAAACCTGAAGTTTTTTGTGTTTTTTTTATATTGCGTAATAAAATTTTTCTCCCCAAATCATGCCAAGTTTTGGTCTGCTGTTCTCACGAAGCTATCATTTGGCTTCAGAAGACTCATACGGACCACTTATTATAGTACTTTTATATCTTTTGTTTTTTCAGAGCTTGACAACCCCTGCTCAGTGTTTGATGTCATTGTTTGTGTAAGAGCTGTATGAAAATCTTTCCTTTTGTGTTCCCTAGAAGAAAAAAAATGTTTGAGAGCGAGCGATGACAGAATTTTCTTATTTGCACATACATGCAACAGACCATGATATAAAACGTAATGGGTTGATTTGTTAAAGTTTACATATAGTGACCTAGAAACATATTCAATATTTTTCCCGCAGGGCTGGAACTCGAGAAGTTCACAACAAGCTGGAAAAGAACAGGTGGGTTAACTTCTGTTTGCATTTGTGTTTTTATTCATTTTGACGAACAGAAGCTGAGCATGTGAAGTCATTGAGTAGCCTTAAAGGGGTCATATGATGTTGCTAAAAAGAACATTGTTTTGTGTATTTGGTGTAATGAAATGTGTTTATGCAGTTTAAGGTTCAAAAAACACATTATTTTCCACATACTGTACATTATTGTTGCAATTACAAGAATTTGCCACTGCTCAAAACTCACGTTTGAATCGTCAGTGGCAATTTCTTTAAATATTAAATCGTACTTACAGTCTGTGAGTCAGAACAGCCGGCATTGTAGTCTACTCTCCCAGGATCAGGAAACAGTCCTCCATAAAATGTGCTGCATACATCTGAATATTTGGGTTGAAGTGTTCTGGAAAAGTGTTGTAAATACAACTTAACCACTGATTTCTAGTCGTGTCCATTTTTGGAAGGCCAAACAAAGTAGTTTCGCTTTCACAATGAAACACAGCCTCACACACGGTGGGCTAGAGTGAGCAGAGGCCGGCTTGAGTGAGCGGTGTACGGTGGGCTTGTGGCAACCACATGTGGCGACCCCGGGCTGGACTGCGCTTCGTCCACTGTGAAAGCCGATCTGGCGATCCACAGCATGAAGTTGATGTATTTCCTCAGCAACCAGCACGGATCAGCTCCAGGCATGACGAAGCAGATATCGTCCTCTTTTGGAAGGCCAAACAAAGTAGTTTCGCTTTCACAACGAAGCACACAGCGCCTTCACGACATGGCGGCGGCAACAACAATACTACAGCGAGAATAAAAGTTCTCTTCTTTCTTTGCGTGAACATTTGGGCGGCGTTATGCAAATCTTCCCACATAGTGAGGTAGATATGTGGGGGCGTGTTAGAACGAGCCGTTTTAGGTAGGCGTGGTTGACTTTTAACTTTTATAAAGAATATCTCTTTGGATTTGAGACTTTAGTCTTTGCAACTTTACAGATCTTCTTTATGCACCAAGAGCTTGTAACACTCCAAAGAGAAAGGAAAATTTTTATCGCATCATATGACCCCTTTAATGTAAGTTGTATGGTTGCTGGACTGATCACAGACACATTAACCCTTGTCGCTTTGCAATTAGTGCACTATTTGTTTTTACTGGCTTGAAGGCCTTTGCCCTACTAGTAACCACAGTAACAAATATTATATCACAAAGCAATTGCCTTTTGACTTCTTCATTGCTGTTACTTCCATCACCAAATCACTTTGCCTAAACATCTGTTAAAACTCTCACTTGCTTTGCACAAAACTAAAAGAAACGGAATGATCAGTGCTTTTCTTTCTGTCCCAGACGAGCACATCTGAAAGAATGCTTTGACATCCTCAAGAAGAACGTTCCTAATGTGGATGAAAAGAAAACTTCCAATTTGAGTGTCTTGAGGAGTGCGCTCCGCTACATTCAGGTAAATCAACGATGGGATTGGATAGGAGTGCTATAAAAGGTTTTACATGCATCCAATTGAAAATAAATTATATTTTAATAATATAATCAATATATTTTGCATATAAAAGAAGCCTATTTTTAGGGCCATTAAGAATACTAACATTGAAAAATATATAATTTCTCTCCTTTGATTTCTAAGGGTAAAGGTTTGATGATCCGGACATGTTTTTATGAGACCACCTAGAAACACATCCATCCTTATTCCATTCGTAGGATAGCTGGTGTGGACTGTTACGTCTGCATGTAAAAGTTCATGTTTGAATGTGAGGATGGAGTTTTGATTGGGAATGTTTTTCCTCTGACCTGTAATAGTTGGCTGCCAACTTGAATTCATACAAAAATTATAATTAAATGTATTCCTAAAGCATATTTTATGGTAATAACGAATAACAACAGAAAATGTGTTGGGAATAGGTCACAAGATGGGGATTTGTAGTCCGTTTTCTCCTTCGATTCTCTCGTTCTCACCCTCCCACCCACATAGGCTTCTCCACACATACTCTACTGGCAGAATTGTCACATGCATCAGCCAAAACATCCTGGGTCGAATTCTTCTCCGTGTGCACTCATTATATCTTTTGCTTAACCTTTCCCTGTTCTTTTCTTACCAAGAGGTATACTTCTTTTTTCCACTTGGCTGTTTCTCTATCCGTCTGGTTTTTCTTTGCCAGCTAAAAATGTTCATTTGAGCATATGAAAACCTTTATTACATTTTGCACATTTAGGATTCATTTGGTGGTCAATGACATGTTGTTAAAGTGCATATAAGTTTACCCGGATCAGAACATTAACACTGACGTAGATACAGCTGACATAAAAAGCGCCAAGGTCACGGTCGAATTTGCAGACTGCAGCCGCAACAATTAGTATAATAGTGTGGGCGGAAAGGTGACCTGTTTATGAAAGACATATCTTTGAGTTTTGATCTCAAAAGCTATAAAACTGAAGCCGGCGATGGTTATAAAGACACGATAAACACAAGCGAGGCAATGTGGGCCGCCCGCTCGCACGCTACTCTGTTTCCCGTTCCCCCTCCCACTGATAACACTCAGTTCCGCTCCTTCCCTGCTTGTTTGAGCCTGCTCCCGAGTCCACGTGAGGCATGAGCACATGGTGAGCGCGAGCCCAGTGACGTCAACTGCTGTAGTCCTCCCCTTCCTTTCTCTCCCTCAGCATGCACACGACAGACACACACACACACACACGCCGACAGAAGCTGTTTAAATCAAACAATGCACTGTCGCAGGACATGATGCGTGCGCTGTATGGCATGCTTGTGTGAAAGTAGGTTACGCTACATTGTTCGAGTCAAGTTTTTTCTTTCTTTTCTGGGCCGTAGTGCTGTGAATCGTTGTAACCAGGGAGACCACGGCAAACAGAGCTGGTGGTCAGTGAATAGCACTCTGTCTGTAGTTTGACTTTCTTTACAGATTCGTTCTAGATGCAGTCAAATGCTGTCTGCGGTTTTTCCAGGCATGGAGCGCTTGTTTTACGCCCACTGGTTGTGGAGCAATATAACAGGGACAGCAGTGATGAATTTTCATACAAGATAATATGAGTTACGTGATCGGTTCACAGCTGCAGTGATGTACCAGCATCATCGGTGTTGATTTATGGTGGTCCAATATGTTGATATTTTATTACACATTTTATTACACGTTATTATTTGCTCCAGTGGTCAACTAATATTTTTTTCTTTTGGTGGCTGATATGATATAATGCCTTGTACATATAATCACACTAATAAAAATATAACATTTAGCATACTTTTAAAAGAGTACTTATTATGGAAATGATATACTTTATCAGAATGAATTTAAGTGCAAACTGAATCTAATGTTTTCAGACGCTTCATCCCGTCAATTGCAATTAAATGGAAATGTATTATAGATGAAACGTAGTGAATTGCATACTGAATTTCATAATTGTGTTGTCTTTGAAATATGGTTAAAGTTTACTGTCATCATTTATGGTAAACTACAGTGTACTTTAATGCCATTTCTTCTGAAACTTGTAAGTCATATCTACATATAGTTGTAATTACATGCTTGTAATGGTGCTAAAATGTAGTACATTTAAAAAATATATATATATTAACCTTACATTTAATATTATTTTATAATTTAATGTTAGTTTATAATTTAACACTGTTAATTACCCAATGACTTTAAATCGACAAATTAATCATCTATGTACTTTATTTACTCTTATGTAAATTATTTTAAAAACAAAAGATGTGCATTATCTATTGACAAGACGGTCAAAAACTTTGCAACTGAGGCACAGTACAAAATGAAATATTGGATGTTTAATAGCTGATTATACGAATCAGTCACAAATATTATTGCAGCGTTATTTCATTGTTTGAATGTTCAAATGCAGTGTTACTTGAGCGCCCTCTTTTTCAAACTACATGTGATAAAGTGAACATGAAAGCGCTGGGATGCTGGAAGCAGGTGAGGAATGTTTTAATCACAAAGGTAGAGGGGGCATGAAGACATGAAACGGGGGAGTGAGTGCGAGAGCCATCGGACTGGAAAACACTAGAGGTCGATGTGAGCCAATTGCATTAGCCCTTGCCTCTCTCTTACACATTCTCCTCATCACCACGTTGCTCCTTCCCTGCTCTGTTGCCAAGGAGACCATGGCGGGTTCCAGCTGTTGCCGTGGTGATATCCAGTGGGACCTGATATCTAGTCTGTAGGGATGTCTAGTCGGTTTCTTTACACACAAAAGATGGAGTGGGATCAAAACTGACCTGGGGTCAGTCAGTCGGCACGGGGTTTATACACGCATTAGGATTTGAGCTGATGGCTGGGGTTGATGTTTCAGTAATATCATGACTGCTTTATCACTGGCTGAAGTGTCGCATTCCAAAGAACTATGATGACACAGTCTTGTTGTCATTCTGATTGGTCATCTTGACTTGTTTATTTCAAGTGCATTCTTTCTCTTCTTGCAATATTAAGTTCAATTGTTTGTCACAAAAACACGCCTATGTTTATATGAATCTTTGACAAGGTATTAGCAGTCTTTAAACAATTACAACAAAATCCAAAATGCAGTTTTTGAGACATAATATTTTTTTGCATACTATTTTGCAGTATATCAGTTATCGGCTGACATTACGTATTTTTCTTTTTTATTAATCATTATCAGTAGATATTGGATATTCAAATATTTAAAGAAACGAATACTTATTCAGCAAGGTTGCATTACATTGAGTAAAAGTGCAGTATGTAATATAAGTCTCAGGTGTCCCCAGAATGTGTCTTGTCAAGTTTCAGCTCAAAATACCCCACATATCATTTATTATATCATTTTGAAAATGCCTATTTTGAGTGGAAGCAGAAACAGGCTGTTTTTGTGCATGTCTCTTTAAATGCAAATGAGCTGCTGTTCCCCGCCCCTTTTCCAGAATAGGACTGTGCCTTTATAGCTCGTTCCTCAGATACTCTGCTAAAAAACATCTGTTTGGTTTTGATTATGGTGTCTATTGCATTGAAATAATGCGTTTTATAACATTATTTTTAACTTCTGATACACGGTTCTCTGAGCCCACACACTTAAGTTCTCTTTCATGTCTTATTGCGCTTAAACTATACAATACACAAAGTTTGTTTAAAAACACACGAGTTACAAAAACAGCTGGTTATGTATGTGAAGGTAACAGCTGGGAAAGAAATTGCATGTTTATATTAGATCTATATGGCCTATATCGCAATATACAGTAAATAAATCCAATGCTCTCTTGTCTCCTCTGAGGCTGGGACTCTAAACAGTGTTCTGTGCTCGTATGTGCAGCCAAAGACAGAACCGTTAGCATGCTTTGCTCGAACTTTCGCCATGCCGTTAGAACTGGTACACCGTCGGCGCTTGCGAAAACACAATGGTGGCACCTGTGGGTGGAAACTTGCAGATTAAGTATACGTATAATAATAATATAATATAATTTATATTATAATAAAATCCCCTTTCTACAACACAGGGGAGCGAAACTTTGAATGGCTCGTTTTTTCACAAGCTTGCAGAGAAAGAATTACAAAACGTAATTTCATGTTTTCTGGGTTGCCCTGGGGGCCCGATTATAGCACTTAAACATGGGGGGGGG